CAAGCAGAAGAAGCGGCATGGTGTATGTCAGTGTATGTAGATTCCGTGCACAGAAAGACCGACTAGGATTCAAAACCAACCAAACTATTTACAACAAATGGCTCAAAGCGCATGGAGAATGGCTGCACCGTCAGGACGACACAGCGCCGAAAACCGACAAACTTCAGTTCACAGTCGACCAACGAGGCTAAACCTGCATGGACCCAGCCTTAGACTCTACTTGCATGCTGAGTTGACTTAGCAAGTCCACTTAGTATCCACTTAGTACCCCGCATAAGTTGTAGATGCAAGGCCTGTTGATGTTAGGGCGTACAACAAGTGGCCCAAGTGGACTGGGAAAACCCTAAACGGAAAGTGGGCTCGACGGCTTGAACATCGAGCAGAACACCGACTGAATGTGGAGAGGGGGCGGGGGGGTTAAGGGGGGCAGGGACCCAGCATCATAAGCATCAGGGACCCAGCATCTTGGCATCTCCGGTCTTGCAGACTGTGAGAAGGGGCCATTGCATGCGCGCTTACCACTCGCTTTCGGTGTGGTCCTGCCCTGCTTGTGGACAGTGTCGCGAAAGCACGCCGACCATAGTCGAGCTTCTTCATCTACAAGATAAGCTACTTGCTACAGCACTATGCCAACCATGGAGCATGTGCCTCATGCATACCACCACGACTTACAATTCGATGAGCGCAGTTCCTTAAAGAAGATTATCGCTGTCGAAGTTAGCCGCGTGCTGAGACATGGAATACCTCGCTATGAGCATGACTTGCACTACCTTCACACCGGCATATCCGAAATACAGTGCTATTGCCTGAACCTGAAGTTGTTGCTTGCCTTTCATAGAACCAAACAGTGTCACGCTCAGTATGAAGAGGATTTGGTTCAGTTGCTTGCGATCGAAGCACACCGTGCGGTGCATATGGGTGACTCGGCTCGGGCTGTGGCGGCGGACATTTTTGACATGGCGGACATGTTTGACAACAATCGCGGTCTTTCCACAGACCTGTGGCCACATCTTCCTGGACAGACGATTCCTAGCAAATTCCAATAGCACGGCGTTCCTCAACCGTGAATCGTGCTCCCCTTCAAGTCCCAGGTGTCTTTTTTGGTGTGTTTCGGTGGGAAATCGTGCTCCCGCAGCAGTTCCATGTTCATGGTGGCTTTGGAATCCAGCATTCTAGCGGGCTTGGTCATTCCGAAATTATGCTACCGCCACAGCACCCCCGATGTTGACTGCATCTCGTGCTTGTGCTTTCAACACACGTGCTTCCCCGCCACAGTCCTGAATACGTTGTGTGGAGGGAGTAGTGCCCCCGCCTTATTGCGGAGCGTGTTCGACTGCAGCATGCAATCGTGTTCCTGCCACGTGGTGGTGGCGTTTGGGGCTCATGTGGTGTTTTCGAAGAACAGCGCTCTCGGATTTTTTTCGGGCATGTGCTTGGACTCCTAGGTGTTCTTTCAATTTTTGGGGTCTACGCTTGCATATAGTGAACAGCAAGTTGTAACATGGATTAAGGATGATTAGCGCTGGGATTCCCTCTACTTAAACTTACCTTTCGGACAAGAGGATCATGATGTTCCAACGCTGGCTTCTACTTCAACTGGATACAGAGCTCGCAACCAGCATTCCCTCAAATGCAGCATGGTCGGGCTCAGGATCTTGGGGCTTCAGATTCGCAGCCTTAGCATCTTCTGTGAGAGGTGGGGTGCAGGATGTTCAGAGATCCTGAAGAGATCCTAGCAGCTACTGCAGCAGGTGGTCCTAACAGGTCTCGTTCAGGATTTCGTGGCTCCGGGTGTGGGGCGGGTGCACGGCTTGCCGGAAGCCCGGCGATCCGACGCTATGGTCAACTACGACAAGAATATTCAAGGTCTGGTGGCAGTTGGGAACTGGGCTAGGCTAGACAAGTCGTTGGACTGAAAGTTCGGTATGTCAGGTTGTCGCAGACTCGTCTGTGTTTGGAATCCGAGTCCTTGTAGGGCAGTGTAAGGGGTGGGTTCCGGTGGCAGTTTTCGCGGTAACTGCGTTCGTTGGAATCAAATGCTTCAGTATTGCTACGTGTCAATTGACATGGAAAAAATGGTGGAAGTGCATAGTGGTTGCGATATAAGTGTTTCGGATAACAGAACGAGATCATAAAACTGGCACCAGCACTGGTGTGAGTACCGGCTCTGATGTTACGCACACGGTTTTCGTCGCATGGGCGCTGTATCAGGTGGTGTATGATGAAGTCGCAGTGGCATATTAAATCACAGTAATTCGTGATCGTCGTCGTCGTCGTGGTCACAGCAGGGGTTGATGGAGCGCGCATTTGCACCACGCTTGCCCTGAGTGCATTCGGAGGTGCCAAGAGAGATGCTGCAAGACAGGCGCACGAGGCATCTCCTAGTTGACCCATAGAGCGGGTTTTAGTCTCGGCTACCAATCTGGCTTCTGTGAAATGAATGCAGTCGGCATCTGTAGGGTTTATGGCATCTTCGGCTGCGGCTCGTGACTTGGTAAGGGATCGGATCCGACATGAGCACAGTAGATTCCGGTGGGGCTAAGAGTTCAAGTGTCAGTGGTCGAGATCAGAGTTGTCAGGCTGTCCGATGGATTGACATGAAATTTTGTCGTTTGGTTTCCTTCAGGATTTCCGGCCCTGGCGTTGAGTCTTGCAGAGTTGGCTCATTGACAAGTCTTTACACCATTGAATTGCCAAGCCTGAACTTCCACGTTCCCCATGTTCAGCCAATTCCGTCCCCTTGCTTCGACAGGCGAAAGTGAAAGCCAAGCAGGTGCCCAGTTCGATGTGTGGTGTCGTGGTTGGAGGGTTCAAGCTTGCTGCTGCTTACCCCTCGGTGCAGAAGTCTCAGCTTGTTTGCCATATCACCCTCTCCAATCGCAAAACGAGGACAAGGAAGACGCACGCCGAGCTGCGGCAAAGGCAAAGCGGGAGGAGCTCCTGTGGCCGGTGATGTGGGTAATGTGGGTACAGTGGGCGATGAGCTTCGTAATGGTACTCTTGTTGTGTATTCGGTACGGTTGCTTTGCTTATCAATTTGTGTAGTGCATCTGCGGCCGCGGCCAGCCAGTCTGGGTTCAGGGCTTGGTACGGAGGCGCTCTTGAGGGACACAATACCTGCTTGGAGCTGGCTCGCCATGTCTGCACCAAGTCTTCGCAAGAGTCCGGGCCATCCCTCATCTTTGCATCATAGCTGCCGATCTAGCTACCTATCCGTCCATGCAGCATCCAACAGTTGTTTCTGTCTTTACATTGACATGCATACGTACATACATACATACATCCATACGTACATACATATGTAAGTACGTACGTACATACATACTACGTACGTACATGCATGCATGCATAGATGCACACATACGCGCGCACATACATACATACGTGCATGCATGCATGCATACATACATACAGACATACAGACATACAGACATCAAGACATGCATACATATATACATACAAGCATACATACATACATACATACATACATACATACATACATACATATGTATATACATACATGCATACATGCATACATACATACGTATATACATACGTATATACATACATACGTATGTACATACATGCATAACATACATGCATAGGTACAAACATACATACATGCATACATACATATGTACATACGTGCATGCATGCATAAATGCGTACAAACACACTTCCATGCATGCATGCATGCATACATACATGCATACACGCGCACATCCATCCATCCATCCATCCATCCTTCCTTCCTTCCTTCCATCCTTCCATCCTTCCATCCTTCTATGCATGCATGCATGCATGCATGCATGCACACATACATACATACATACATACATACATACATACATACATCCACACGTATATATATATATATATTATATATATTATATATATATATATGCACATATCCATAAATATATACACATACATGCGTGCATACATACATACATACATACGTACATACATACATACATACATACATACATACATACACGCATAACATAGATGCGTAGATCCATACAAACATGTATGCATGCATGCATACATACATCCATGCATACATACATGCACATACGTACATACGAGCATACAGCATGCATGCATGCAGGCATGCAGGCATGCATGCATGCACAAAAATGCATACATGCATGCATGCATGTATACAAACATAGGCAATCATCCATGCACACATGCACATGTATATACATTTACTAAGGATCCGTGGCACCTGCGCACGTGTGAAAGTCTACGAATGTCGTTCCGGGTTAGACACCCTGGTTTCTTGTTGTCTCCCGCTCTCTCTCTCTCTCTGTGCTGGCCTGTTCAACCCCAGTCCCGGCGGCTATGTTTTGTGCCCCAGACTTGAATTGCAGGAGAAGACGAGGTCAGGTCCTCGGGAAGATGCGGCGAAAGTGCGCTAGCAAGAGACACTGAAAGCTTCCATCGCCCCTTGAGAGAAACAGGTGGCAAGGTCAAGGCAGCTACTGCATGGTATTGGATGTCCGAGTTGTTCTCCACTTCGTCGAAGTGGTACTTGCTCGAAACTCCGCACGGTGCCGCGCAGCATCGGCCAGCAGAGGCAACTGATCGAATCCATCGCCGCCGAGATTGACGAGCAGGGCTCTCGGTAAAAGTACTCAATGGTTTTGGTGTGAAACCTCAATCCGTATCAGTAGACTTTGTTGTGTCTGAGAAGTCCTTTCGCCCACGTTTTGGAGAGGCTGAAGCCGTCGGCTCACATATCAACATGTCCGAAGCCCTGAACTGCCCTGAGCCTGTGCTGAGAAGCTGATGCCGCAAAGTGCGAGGTTGAAGCTCTAAAGCCTAATGCACATCGTCTTGCATAGACGGGTGTTTGCTGAGCTTGATCGCACCGTAAATTGACCTACCCTTTGCCCGGAGGGCGTGGATTGTCGTGCATGCACCTTGCGAGGTCCGAGGAGAAGGTTTACGGCGACACGTGCGGCGATCTTTGCCAGGAGGTACGACCCTAGATGAAATCCAGGTCTTCTTTGAGGCCAGCTTTGTGTAATTTAGCCGAGCTTACAGGGCTGAACTGGGCGTGCAATGGATGCCGGCAATTTGGTCAGAAGGCTCGCTGGACAAACGGATTCCAGGCAGGCGAAACTTTCAGGAATCGCTTGACAGGTCGAACAGAGACCGCTTGTTTTCGATCGAGTACTTGTACCAATAACCTTTGGAGTCTTCATGCTGGACCGTTCATCGACCCCATGGTTGCCGAGTTGGATCTTAGGATTGTCTTTGAGGCTCTTTGAACGCCCACTGGGCCGTGAATCCTGCAAAAGGAATCCAGGCTGAGTGAGAAGCGGGGCTGGATTACAGACCCGGCATGATTAGACGGGCTCGGCTCGGGCTCGGGTTGTGGTTGTGTCCGAGTTTCAACTGACCCCCTAATAAAGCTTAAAAATCGCGCAAACTACCCCCGCGATTAGACGGTCCCTCTCTGGAGTCGTAAGAAACAACGCAGATGTGGCTCTGGATTTCCAGGAAGCAATGACAAGAAACTTCTGCTGCGGGCCAAACGACAGCCCTCCATCAAGCATTTGTTTT